GAAGAGCGTTCTGCTGCTCTCCAGCATCCCCATGGTCTCCCAGATGAACCACAGATATTTGTTACTCCTGAAAAATCAGGCTGTAGCGATCTCATTCAGGCACAGAAAAACTTTGGAGACCACCCGTAGCTAAGTCAGAACTGACTGGATTTACAAGACTGTGGGGAAATAAAAGCTATTTAGACTACAGGACAACATCCAGGTCACTATATTTAAGATAACTCCAACACAGCCTTCCTTCCAACGCTGCCCTAAGAAAAGCAGGTCTCAAACTGCGGGGCAGACGCCCACGGGCGCCACAGGCTGCTGCTCCGCAGACTCCGACCAGCACAGCCGAGCTCAGAATACAGCACAGTAACTACAATTAATTTTTCATCCCCCTTACGGCAGCGCCCGGAGCCCCGACCTGCGGCGCCTGCCGCCCACAAGCATCAGCTGCCAGCAAGGAGGTGGGCTCCGACCACCCGGACGGCGCCAAGCAGCAAGAGCAGGCAGGCAAGGATTTACGGAGAGGCAAAGCAGCTTGCAGCCCATCAGCAACACAAGGCTCCTTCAGCGGGATGGCTGAGCAGCCGCAGACCTCCCTGCCCTCCCTCCGCCATCCCCCTCCTCTTCGCTCGCCTGCGCTGGCTCCGCGTCATGTCGGGCAGGAGCCGAGAGCCGGCGGGCACCACGCACGCCCAGCATCCCCCACCCAGCCTCCATCTTCCCAGCAACGCTCCCGGCTTCTTCCAACTGGTTTTTTCGGTGCATTTGTTGTCATAGGACGGGTGATTTGCAATTGAATATTGTAACAAAGACGATGTTAATGGCAAATCAGAATAAAAACGTTTTTGTCAGCAGTCTGCAAAGATTTTTGTGGCAAAACGGAGAAGCGTTTTGCAGCGTTGTGCCAAAGCCCCCTTGTTCAAAGAAAAAAAAGCAACCTACCCAGAGCTGATCATCCATTCCCGGTGGGTTCTTTTTAATAAAAGCACCATAATACGTAGCGATATTTCGGTGGTGAGAATATTTCTTCAGCATGTTAATTTCTTGTTTGATCTCTTCCTCTTCATCCTGGGATGAGGTGAAAAGAAAGGGAAGAGAGACAAAACCAGAGGCGCTAAGAGACCGCACTTCGCAGACTCCCAGCTCTCTTTGCACGTGGGTGAACTGCCATGCACCCCATTTCTGACTGACCTCATCGAAGTTTCCTTGCACCATTTTTTACAGCCACTGTTTTAGCAGAGCCCTGGGAGCCTGAGGTCTGGACTGGAGACTAACGGCTTACTCCTCGAGCAAAAAAGCTCAGGGCAAAACACGTGCTTTGCCACATTCCCTGTTGCACTTTTGAACCCCGAACCGGACAGATCTTCAGGCAGTGCAGAAATCGGGTCATTCCCAAACAGTTCAGATCACGGCGTCTCCTCTACAACGGGATCGCAAAGGTGCTGGCAGAGTTTAAGGTGGGCAGCCGTCCTCTCACGTGGGTTCATGACCCACCAGCCCCATGGGCTGCTTCCAAGGCAGCAGCACGGGCGGGAGCAGAGCCCCGGCAGCTCCCGAGCAGTCGAACGCCTGCAGGCTAAGGGCCCACCAGGAGGGGCTGGCCAAGCCAAGCAAGGTCTGCCCAGGAACGGAGCCCTCGCATGGGGACGTGCTCTCCATCCAGAGGTGCACCAGCGCCAGACTTTGGCATCCCAGCCAAATTACACGTTTCAGACGTTCCTCCATCTTTTAAAACTAATTTCTTTATAATTCATATCAGAGCCTAGACCAGCATGGCATAGCTCTGAAGCTCAGTGACACTTGTGTTGCCCCAGTAACACATCAGCACACTCTCCTAGACCCATCAAAGGCCCAGAGAGATGGCTTCCCAGAAACCGTTGTTGCATGGCAGGAGTGCTCCCGCACTTTGCATCCCAGTCTCCCGACATGCTGCTCCTGCCCACCCGGGAAGCAGCACGAGGCATTCGGAGACACCAGGTGTTACTCGTGGTGTGGTGGCACCACAAACTCTATGCCAGACTGTCTTGGTCCTGGCGACAAGCACCATTCCCGTGGGTTGTCATGGCCCCTCTCCGTCCTGTCTGCAAAGCAGCAACCACTGAAGCAGCCAAGGCAGGGGAACTGCACCTATACCTGTTTTGATGTCCTACCATGGCCATCAAACACGCCCTGGTTTTATTTTAAGCTGACCAAACTCCAGCCTGCTGTAATTCCACCGGCTGAGAAGCAGCAGATAGCTGCCTTGATGTCGACAAGCTTTATTACAAAAGGACCAGAAGGGCTGTTACTTCTTTATTCTTCTCCCTTGTGTCCCTCATCTGCTTCACCCTGACTTCAGTTCTACAAATGGGCAAAGGACAAGACACCCCAGTGAACAGCGAAGCTGAAGCAGCAGCTCTTCTTGAAGAGCGATGCTCCCTCATTAGGTGTTGCGCACCACGGACAGAAACGCGGCTTTCTTCCCAAGCTACCACAGAAAGTGACTTCATGACTACAGTCTTCCAGAGAGAATTCAGGGAAGAACAGTGAAGATTAGGACAAGAGGAACTAATAAAAGCACCTGACTAGGAAAAATGGAGAGGAGCCACAGGGACACTTGGTTCTAAGGTTTATCTTGAGTCCCTCTTTCTGCTGAAGTAATCAAAATGGGGGAAAAAAGTTGAAAAGGCACAAAATCCCCGAAAAAAAACAACACTGGAGCTGTGGAGGTCAGGACGGCACACGAGGACATGTCTGCATGGCTAGGCTCAGGGGTCTCCAGCCCAGCCTCCTGCTCCAAGCAGGACTACTGCCAGTGACCACCACCAGTAAATCCAATGAGGGAGGGAAGAAAAAGGAATTCTCATAGCAAGCTGGTGTAACTACTCCAACTCCAAAACTGATCAAACCCACAGGCCAGGTTTTGCCGCCATGGTTTGCATCCATCAATCAATGTTATTACATCCATTGCTGGAAGTGGGTCATGCAGCAGGACCAGCCCCTGGAAAACAAATCCAAATTCTTAATTCAGAGATAGTGGCTGCCCAAACTGATCATGTGCTGTAATTTGAGGGCCTCAGTGCTGCAGTCTTCCCTAACAACTAATTAGCAAGAGCATAGACGAATTAAAGCATCGTCGTCAGGAGCCTTTGGGGGTTTACTGCAAGGCACGTGGTTGGGATGAAATGCTGGCTGGGAGCTCACTTAAAACACGGGCACTCTGCACTCCAAAAGCTCCCTCCATGAAACTGCAGATGGCTATGTTTGGGATGACCACACTAGTTCTGTTCTCTGTAGGCTTCTGAAAGACACGTTGTCATCAAGGACATCGTGCAAAAACAGGTGGGATGGAAGATCTGGGTAAAATGAAGCAGGGACTGTGCTGAAGTCAGCATGTGTCAGGAGACGGTGAAGGACTGGAGCAGACACATCTGGGTTTTCACCAGCAGTCCACTGAGCCTGGACCAGGTGCTGAAGGTGGCCTTAGGCACCGTTCAGGGACCGGCTTGAGCAATGACTCCAGAAGTGACTCCCAAGACCACTCCTGCGGCGGCTGGAGGACATGGCTCTAGATCTGACTTTGGCATCAACAGCTACAAAGCACAGTCAGTCCCTTGCCACATCACAGGTTTGCTCTGTCTTAACTGTGGTCATCGCGTGGCCTGCCCAAGCCTGGTCCTGCTCCCTGAGCAGCCTCCTGTCGGTGACCAAGAGCCGGCGGCATCCCTTCAGAGGACAAGGAGGTCTCACCTCAGCACCTCAGCTGATCCTGCTACCGCCTGCCAGGCAGCTACTTCTCCACTCATGCAATATTGGTGTCACCCGAGGCTGAGAAGCCACCACATGGGGCATTCAGTGGGGCAGGGAGAAGTAGAAGGGAGCAGAAGTTCAGTTAGGGGGACTTGTTAGAGGCTTGACTTCAAAAATTTGTGTATTATATATTAAAAGAAAAGTAACCAATGTGTTTTAATATGGCATTAAATATCCAAACATCCCATGTCAAATATCTGATTTACTACCTTGGATGTTCAGAGACTCTACCTGAGACTCTACCTTGGAAGGCAGAGGTTTAGATCACGCATATCTACTTAAAGACGTGGCTGAAAATATGAGTTATCGGGCAGGATGAGATTTGGGGTACTTTTCTTCAACATCTTTGCTTGGAAGTGATGATATGTTAAAACCACTGAATTAAGTGTGGACTCAGATTTAAGCCCCTGTTTGGCCTCAAAGCAATATTCTGATTTCTCAGCCTAAATTTGTTACAACCTCAGATTTCATCCCATGGGAACCCACTGCCATTTCTGCCATGCGGTTACGTTTGGTGGCTCTGTCCATTCCCTTAGAGCCTGCTCCCCATGAGAACTAGATAAATGGCACTTGTAGATATTGTGAGTAAACAGAAACAAATCTCATTCACATTTACTGACTTACTTCCACGCATCATTTCACCTGTTAGCAGAAAAAAGAACCTGGATGAAGATCCTGCAGGTATTAATACCACACCACAACATCTCAGGTATTTCAAAACATACTCCTGTGGCCACCTGACTGCTTTCACAGCGAGTCAGTTCTGTATGTGCTGAACTCCTTAAAACTAACTAAAAACAGTAATTCAAAAAATAAGGTGGGTAGGTTGGGATAGAGTCCTACATTTTGAAATGTGCTATTCCAGTAAAAGAAAGAAAAAAAAGACAAAACACAGTAAAAACATTCTTACTCCCAAACTTGGCATTGTTTATGTAGGCAGGAACTTTGGGAGGTATAACAGTATACTTAAAAAAAATAAATTTAAAAAAAGCACTTTCATGTCATCCTCCTGAATGCATCTGTTTCGGTTTTTAGGGATCATAGCAATTCCACCCATTTTTCCTTTTGTGGCCACTGGGAAATGGTGAAACCATTCTTTCCCCTAAATCCTGTTCTTCATTTAATAAGTTGTAAATTCCTGATTCTCTTCATCTCATACAATTTCCAAAGAGCCACATTTCTGAGACCAGGGCGGTGCACTTTTTCCTCTTTATCAGTAGGATGCACAGGAGTAATTTAACCTGCCTAGAAAAGCTATTCATAACAATACCTGCACATAGTTCTGGTGAACAGAATTTTTTTGTTGAAAAACATGGATTTGGAGGAGCTGAAATCTGTTACGAACACACGATCCCATTGCGACAATTTTCTTCAGATCTTATTAACGCATTCAGAAGAGCCACTGCTGGAACTGGATGCTGCTTTGTTTCAGCATAAAACTACATAACCTCCAAAATTCCTCCAGATTTGTATTTCTCTCACACATTTATTAAACTCAAAACCTCTTAACGGCACATTCCACGTCAAGGCAAAGGGGATTTGCTGTCCAGGAACTCAAACCTTCCACTAACCCTCCCCGCTATCACGCCCCGTCCCCTTTCCCCTCTTATCTGCTGCTGAAGGATGCAGGAGGAGCAAGATACATTACCCCGGTGACGTCCATAACCTTAATAGCAGCAAGCTGGCCTGTTTTAACATGACGACCCTGCAAAAGAAAAAGGAGAAGCTGGTTTAGCTTTGCTCAGTGGCAATGTTTTCCTTGCAGCGAACATTCTCCTTAAACCATCTCCTCGCCCTGGCAGCATCTGCATGTACTTTTGCTTTTTCAAGAGCATCTTCACAGCAGCCATGATGGGAAAGCAGTTCCCTCCCCTTCCCCCTGCCATTAAAATTAATTAGTAAAGGGCCTTTGATGCTGTATTTTCCTGGCAAACGAGTGCTGGAAATATCCCTTAATGCTCAGCCATGCAAAAAAACAGCTTGGGGCCTCTCCCGAGCGCAGAGCATGATTCGGCTGGGAATGGTCTGCTGGAGCGGCGATGCTGGAAACGTGCTGGCTGGGGTTCCCCCACGGCACTGACCTCGGTCCCCCCGCGTAGGAGCCCCAGCTCTCCCGGACCTGGGGACACCCAAGGGACCGCAAGCCTGCAGGGCACCATTATACAGCCTGCCCGCTAATCTATTTAATTTGCAAAAGCCTTGGTTAGAGGGCTAGAGAGGTTTTTAAAATTGGATGTGCTTCTTGGCTGTGGAAGTGACCCCCTCTTCAGCGCTGGCACGGGTGGGGACCGTGCGTCTAGAGGAGAAGCCCCCCAGCCAGCGTGCCAGCAGAAGCCCCTTGACACCTCCTTGGTTCCCAGCAACTGAAAAATCAGCAAATCACCACAACGAACTGCTTGCTGCAGAGTGCACGACTACATTAATCCTAATGGAAAAACGCCTGGAAGCGATGGGGAAGACTATAAAAGAGCCCAGACTGTTGATGGGGTCTTCAAACCAACACAACTGCTATCAAGCAAGCCAACTCCCAGCCTCTCCTCCTCTCCCGAGAAACAGATGACCCAACATCTTCTCAAAACTGCTCACATCAAATCATTCCCCTCCCTCCATTTGACGGCACGTGCTCTGCTTACAAACAGGGCAGAGTCAGAGGAAAAGATGTTTCTCCTCCAGGAGAGCCAGTGGGCTGCAACAGGGAAAAATACGAGCTTTTCCTAAACGCCAGGCTCCCCTGGCCCCACTGCCCCTCACCAGCTCGCCTGTGGATGAGCTGGGGTCTGCGTCCAGGTTTCCCAGCCCTCCTGCGAGCTGGAGATTGTCTCTCACACCATCTCGCTTCCAGCAGGAGCCCCAGATTACCGGACACAGGGACCTCTCCCCGGCCCTTCACGTTTCCAGGCACGGCGTTGAGGAGCAACCTCACGTGCCGGCTGTGGAGCCAGGCAGCATCATCCTCTCCAAATTTATGACTTCACCAGGAAGCCAATTCACCCACAGGGCTCCTCGCTCATTTATTAACGCAATTTATATATCCTGAGCAACCGCATCTTCTAACCAGGGAAAAAGAGCTTTTTATTTTAAAACGTAGAACATAAAAAATGGTAAAATAAAACACGGCCCAGCAGCAGCAGGCTGCGGCTGAAGCATCCCCTGGATGCAGGCGTTGGGGAGGAGGGGCGCATTGCCAGACACCATCTATTTACACAGCGTGATGTGCAAAAACAAATCCTCCCCTTCCTAAATTCGTCTTTGTTTGCTTGGCCAGGAAGCCCCCACACATCCAGACTCATTAATTAAACCCAGCAGAGCACCAGCGAGGGATGCGCTCGGACACAACCACGGCATGCCGCCTCGTCCATGAAACGGCGAAGGGAGACGAGGCACTTCAAGCCATGTGTCTGCTACTTCTACCCACCTCCATCTGACATATCACCACCTCATTTCGCATTTCAGGGAGCTGCCCCAGCCCTGCTGCGAGTGCTGGAGTGCTGCTGCCTACCTCCAATACCAGTCGAGGGAAAAAGGAGCCCTGGGTGCCCACACCGCCCTTCTCCCAGGGATCTGCCACCGCCTCATACACCTCCCCAGCATTTACAGACGAAGGTAAGATCTTCATATTGTGTGAACATTTACCAAAACAAAATAAACTACTTCAAAATGTATGTTGATGTAAGCTGTGAGGGACACTTCGTCACGCAAAAATCGGGCGAAGTAGAAGGAATAAGTATTCAGCCCTGGAACAGCAGAACAAAGATTTGCTTTTCGTATAGTTTGTTCGCAGCGATGGGTTGCTGAGCTTCATCCTGGCAGATCTCCACCTCCGTCCAGGGAAACCAGCCATTTCCTCACTGGTTAACTGTCCCTTTTAATTCAGTGTACCTAGCGCTCAGCATTGAACCTTGCAGTGAAACCATCACATATAGTTTAGAAAACCAGTTGATTTTCACCCTACTGCAGGCACTCTCGGTCTTACAATACAGATAGACAGGATAGAGAGACACTGAGAACTGGAAGGGATAGAAACACTACAGGAATAAACCCAGCATCGGACCCATACACATTAAAAGGCATCACGGCAGCAACGAACCCTTTCGATGGCACTGGCCACCAACCACCTCCTGCATGTTGGCCATGCAGAAGTAAGCGGCCATGCCCCTGCAGCATTTCCACAGCATCCAGCGGGACCAGGCAGCAGAGCCATTTCTGCCAAGGCAAGCTGCAATTGCTAACTGATGCGTGGCAAGTGCTAAACTCTTCAGTGCGAACCCTGCACTGCTGTTAAGAAGTCACAAACAAGGACCGGGGTTTCACAGAATCACAGCATGGTCAGGGTTGGAAGGGACCTCTGTGGGTCACCCAGTCCAACCCCCTGCCGAAGCAGGGTCACCCAGAGCAGGCTGCACAGGACCGCGTCCAGGTGGGTCTTGAATATCTTCAGAGAAGGAGACTCCACAGCCTCCCTGGGCAGCCTGTTCCAGGGCTCCGTCACCCTCAGAGGGAAGAAGTTCTTCCTCACCTCCTCTGTGTCCCCTACCCATCAAAACATGTTTGCTTTTTTCTTTAAACCTTCACCAGAGCAGAGACCTCCACTGCAAAACCACACAGCGACCGAGCCCAACTCCCGCTCCTGGGCTCACCTCTGCTCCCCCTACAGCAAAGACGCGGGTCAAAACAGGTCAGGCTGCAGGTGCCTATGTAGGATTCCAACAGCAATGCTCTGCTTTTTCAGAATTCCTCCTTTTCAGTGCCCCTGTGCTGAGGAGCTTGTCCTGGGGATGCTGGAGAGGGTGCAGCTGCCTGGAGGCAAAGCCTTCGGGAGGATGAGGCCCTTCCAGGGTAAGGCAGTCACTTCTGAGCCTTCAGACCACTCCACCACCACCAGTTTTGGTGACAGGAGCAAAGGAAGCCAGACGGGAGCAGCAATCACTGCAGCCACCCTTGCTCCCCACACCCTCCTCGCCTCCTGCTCGCTTAATAATCTGTGCCAACAGCCTTCGGTCGTCTGTCTGCCCGCGGAAAGGAGCTGCTCTGCTCTTCAGCAATCTGTAACATTCTGTCTTCTTGCTGCCTTTGTCTCCTGGCATTGTTCGGGATTTTTCCGTTTGTTGGTGGCGGGCGAGCTGCTTCCAGCTACTCCTACATAAGAGTGAGAGATGCAAGAGCACCAGCATCCTCCCAAAGCCCAAGCTGCCTCGACATCCCAGCATCCGAAACGTGGTACCTGCAGCCCCATCCTGCTGCGGGGTCCAAACTCCTGCATCCCATTGCCTTTGCTTTGGGCGTAAGTGAGGGTCTACCCACCTCTCCCTCCTCGCTCACACAAGGCGGCGACTGAAGCCCCCAGAAGCTCAAGGAGAAGGGCAGGAGATCTCCAGGAGGCCCTTCCATTGCCCCGTGTTGGCTGTTCACAGTAAGCACCGCGAGGTTTGAAGGACACCGCCAGCATCACCTGGGGTACGGCTCCTGGAGATCTCCAACACACCAGCACCCCCCAACACCTCCCCGCTCCCTTCCCCGGGGCAGGTTTGGCATCTGGCTACGTGCCGTCCTGGCTGAACTGCAAGCTCTGTTGATTGTCATAAATCCAGTACCATTACAGAGGCCGTTAAACATACAGGAGGAAATCAGAGCTACCAAAACATCTTTTCCCCCTCTCCAGACTTGCCATCAAGGTTCACTTGGGTATAAACCCACATTTCAGCCTCAAGATTATTCAAGCGTGAACTTCAAAGCCGCCACAGTTTTTAATTAAATATCCATCTGAGCATAAATTCATGCTCCTAATGACTCTAAAAATGTTATATCAACTATCACTAACTTGATAATGTCAAGTATTAAGACCAATTTCTGCACATGAGACAGGCAACACAAGTTTTTTCTCCAAAGGCTGTGGTCCTCACACTCCGTAAAGCGTAACAGACCAGCACACGATGGGAACACTGGTAAACACTTTCAAACATCAGTTGATGCACTGAGGCACTATATTTACTAAATAAATAAATCCTGGCCTCAGTGTCAGCCTTTGTACACAGAAACTGCATACTCTGGCCCAAAACTCCAGTCCCTGTTTTAAGGACAGAAGGATGACTGATTGTTGCTTCTTTAACATTTTGCTTGTGCAAGCACCGATTTCACCTTTAAGCAAAAACTGCAATTTCTGTACCCAGAAATGTATCCCACCGTATTTACTTAACTTCTGCTTCTATTCATTCAACAGAACACATCACCCAGCACCCGCTGCAACCAGCGGGACACAACCAGAATTGTCACTCTCCCGAGCAAGGCAGAGCTCCCACGTCCTTCGGCCAGGAACAGGGCTCCCAGCCTCCAGCCCCCCACGCACCCATAGCCCCCGCAGAAGGCATTTCACGGAGTAATCCTGCTGCAGGCCTGATACTTTAAAGGCAAACACTTGGGATGCAGCCATTCTGCAAAGCCCTTAGCCATGTAACATGTAAATCTTAAAATAAGTGGGATTGGGGTGCTTTTGCCAGGCAGTGCAGAAATTCCGACATGAACAGCCTTGCTGGGGCCAGCCCACACCATCGCCCCTCGCCACTGAGAAAGCACAACCCGAGGAACACTCTGTTTCATATGGAAATCTCAGTAAACCGAGACAAATAACAAAAAGTCTCATAAAAGTCCAAATATTACCACTTCGGCAGGACAGGTGCCTCCCAACTGATTTTCTTCCATTACATCTTT